CCAGCTCAGCCCACCAGGGGGCGGGTCTGGCTGGCATGTGGTGCTGGGGATCGAACCGCGGTCCCTGTGCTTTAGCCAAGCTTGTTTCAAGTAGGTGCTTTAGACCACTGAGCCATCTCTCCAGCCCCGAGAAACTGAATTCTTAAACTGAAACCAAAACTGCATTTTGAAATTCACATCCCCACCTGTAGTCAACTGTAGCACCTTTTCTGTTTTTTTCTTGTTTTGTTTTAATGTATTTAGTGCAGGGTCTACAGGGTCTCACTACACAGATTGGACTCAGTGATTCTCCTGTTTTCAGTCTCTCAAGTGTTGGGATTACAGGCACTGGGCACCAAGCCCAGTTTCAGTGCACCCCGGGGGCAGGGCCAGCAGGGCACTCTGGAGATCAAACCCTGGTCCCTCCATTTGCCTAAGCAGGCACTTTAATCCACTGAGCTGTCTGGCTGGCCTTCTGGTGTTTTGTTTTTTTTCCCCCCCTTCGGTACCAGGGATTGAACTCAGGACCCTGCACTTACCAGGCAAATGTTCATTATTCTACTTTCTACTGAGCTATCTCTCCAACCCTCTGGTTTGTTTTTGATTTGATATAAGTTCTCACTGTGGAGTGCAGGCTGGTCTTGAGCTCACTTATGTAGCCCAGGCTGGCTTGGGACTCATGGCAATCCTTCTGCCTCGGCCTCCCTAGTACTTTAATTATAGGTGTGCAACACCACACCAGGATGTACCACCCATTTTTATTTATTTATTTTTTTCTTGTCTCTGGGTCTTGTAATGTTGGCTAGGCTAGTGTTGAACTTGGAATCCTGCCTCAGCCTGCGTAGTGTCACCATGCCTGGTTTGTACCACAAACTGTTCTCTAGGACCCACTCCAGCCAGAGGCTTGACTCTAGAAAAAGTCCCAACTGATGGAATTTGGTGACCTACCAACAAAGAAAACCAAGGGTGAATCAGGAAATTTTACTGTCAATTGGGCCCAAATAAAGAGGACAGCCAGCCTAGAAATCTGTCTTTCTGATCTGGAATGAGCTTAGGCTCAAGCCTGCTAAACTCATGCTCTGCCATTGAGCTGCTCCTCAGTTCCTCACTGTCTCGTACTTCCTGGGAGCAATGTCACAACAGGCAGAACAAGAACTGGGGTCCCTGGAGGAAAGGCTGTGCTGCTTATGTGGGTGGCTGAGCCTGTATCACTCCCCTGCCTCTCCGTAGAGGGACACTGCCTCTCACCCTGTACCTGCCCCGTCCACGGTGACATAAGGAAGGTGTGACCCTGCTCTCTACTATGGACAGTCACAGGATGGCTTCTGTCTTTTGCTGGGCCCTCCCTACAGATATGCCTCTCTTGAAGGCTGTTGGCTCTGTCCACAGGAGTGGTGTATAACTACGATGGGTGTGGTGTGCGTCGGGACAAGGCAGGCTGGGAGCAGAGCCTAACTGTGCCGCTCTTGCAGCCTGGTATGCTGGGGCTGCAAGACCAGTGGGACAGGTACCTGGAGGACTTCTCAGCCCATGAGGCCTGGCTTCCACACAGGTATGTGGGTCACTTCATGGTCTGGCTGGCTGTGTGTAGCATCAGGGGGACATGTGGCAGGGTGGCGTGCTTCAGGATTTTTGCAGCAGTCAGAACACACACAGCAATACCTCAGCTTTGGGGGTTTTCTTTGGCAGTGCAGGGGTGGTAGTGGTACCATTGAGCTGCATCCCTAGCCCTAGCATTTAAGAGCTGAAAGGATCAGAACTGTCTTGGTTATCTTCCTAGTTGCTGAGACACCATACCTGACACCCATAGTGTAAAGGAGGAGAGATTCATTTTACTCGGTTTTGGAGGGTCGATGGTCAGCTGGCTCCAAAGCACAGCTATCATGGTAGAAGGGTCTATCAAAGGATTGGGCTCACCCTAGTGCTGGCCTAGAGGCAGAACATCTTGAAAAGAGCACCAGTGATGGGTGTTCTCCAAAGGCCCACCAGGTACCATGTCTTCCAATCAGGTCCCACCTCTTCACAGCATACACAACTGTGGACACTAGGATTAATCCACTAATACAGCATCCCATGTTCCCGTTCCCTCTCCCAGATGTGGCCCAGTCTGGTCACGATGACAGGATGAATTGCTTCAAGAACACTGCCCTCCATTTAGTTGATAGTCTGTTTAACTGGTATTATTACACATATACAGCAAAACTCATTCCTTTTCCAATTGTGTAAAATACTTTAAAAACTCACTCTTAAAAATTAAGCAATATGGGCTGGTGAGATGGCTCAGTGGTCTAACGCACAGGGACCGCGGTTCAATCCCCCAGCACCACATGCCAGCCAGCCCTGCCCCCTGGTGGGCTGAGCTGGCCACACGCATAAATAAATAAATAAATAAATAAAATTAAAAACCTTTAAAAAATTAAGCAATATTTAAAATGTAAAAATATTTGTTTTTTATTTTGGTACTGGGATTGAACTCAGGACCTTGCACTTGCCAGGCAGGTGCTCGTTCTACTTAGCTATGTCCCTGGCCCTAAAATGTAAAAAATACTTAAAGGTCTATTTTTGTTTCAGCAATTTTGCAACAAATTTCTCAATTCCATTCTCCTTCCTCATGTTAGAGGATGTGTAGAGCACTTTCAGATTTTAAAGTTTCTTAGGCTCCCCTTTAATGGTGTAGGGGGAGATAATACATTTAGATAGTATTCCACTCCTAAAATCTAGAATGAGATCCTCCAGTTCTCCCAGTGGACAGATTTCCCACAACTGCATCCTGAACCCTTTGGAGTGTCTCCTGCCTTCCACTCCACAGCACGTAGCTCCAGATGCCAGTTGTCCTTCATAACTGTATCTCTCCAAGCTCCATAGCTGAGAGCCAAGTTTCATTAGGAAAGTCCTTTAGTAGTTTCACGGCCTGTTCCTGAGTCTTCTCAGGAGCCTGGTGTGGTGGCATGTGCCTGAAGACCCTGATACAGGGAAGGCTGAGGCAAGAAGATTCCTTGGGCTCAGGACCTCAAGGCCAGCTTGGGTACCTTTCTTAAATAAGTCACTAAATTCATCAGCCTTTTCCTCTCTGTGTCCTGTTCTGGAAGGTATGAGGAAGATCACCACAACTGCTACAGCTACTCCTTGATGTTCATTAACTGCATCCTGGCCACCGAGGGCAAGGGGCAACTGGACAAGACCGAGTTCACAGAGAAATATGTGGTCCCAAGGGCGAAGCTGGCCTCCAAGTACATCACACTGTATCGGGCTGTTGAACAGCATGGCTTCTACGTGATTGACCATGCTAGCCCTGAAGCTCATCCTCCTTAGGGGAGCCATTGTGCTGAGTGTAGGGTGTGCAGGAAGTGGCAGGGCATTCCAGGTCCTGCTGTGAACCCGCACTTTGAACCCGCCCTTGTGGATTCCTAAATGCATCTAACTGTGTGTGGTTAATGAAAAAGTGTATGGGCTTCTTGAAGCGCATTTCAGCTTATAATGGCCTAACAATTCATGAAATAAAAATTTCCTGGGGTTTTAAAAATTATATTCATTACAACCAAATTTTTTTCACAGAGGTTGAGTTTGGAAGCTGAGGATCTGGTAGAACAAAGTGGAGCCAAGAAAGAAAGGTGTTCTTAGAAAAGAATTCTACCTGGGTGCATTCGCCTTTCACTGTGACTCCAGCTGAGGGGAGCACATCATGTTCACCTGCAGCCTTTTCACTTAAGTACACTTGGCCACCTTTTAAATATTTGATGGTTGTCATTAGTACTGATTTGCAATACAAAGTGATTACATATATCAAAGGGAGCTGATAAATGTATATGACACACCTTCATTTTTACGTTGTGTCCCCCTCCCCTGGTCTATCTCCTTGTTCCCTTTTCATTTGCAAAAGTTCTAGCTTCCCATCTCCAATTACTTATATTTCTCCTTACGTATACTTTGAATTTCTCATATAAGAGAAACCATGAGCTAATAAACTTTTTTTTTTTTTTTCGGAACTGGGGATTGAACTCAAGCCCTTGCGCTTGCCAGGGAAGTGCTTATTCCACTGAGCCATCTCCCCAGCCTGTAAGCTTGTGTGTATGATTTATTTCATCTTACATTATGGTCTCAAGATACATCTACTTTCCTATAAATTATTCAAATTATTCTTTTTTTTATGGTGGAGTAGGGCTCCATTGTGTGTAAATATCACACAATACATGCTATATAATTGTATAATTTATATACATATATAATTTTATGTATACATGCATATTTTATTTACATATATATTTTTTATGCTGATTCTAGAGGTCAAATAGATTTAGATGAATTTGTTGGTTATATGAGCACCTCTTCAGATTGCTGTCCAGTGTGGAGGATCACCATGTCACCCTCCTCCCAGACACAAGTATGATTGTGCTCAGTTGCAAGCAGTGAAAGCTGTATAGAGGTGACTTCCCTAAATTTGCTTTCAATTTACTTACTGGGTCTGGCCAAGGTTGTACATGTGTTTAATGGTGGGTTAGCATTTTTTCATCATCATTGGTCATGGTTGAGCATAGATAAATGAGCTGTGATACCACAGAGCTAAGATATGAGAGGAAGATTCCTTCCACAAATTGACTACAAAGAAAGTTGCTCACCAATTGCAACCTAAATCTGGCTGTTCCTATTTCTTGTTCTGTTCTTATTTCTTGTTCTGCTTTGTTGTGTTACCAGCCTTGCCAGCCACCCCCCCACCACTTATCTAACATATCAGACACAATCCCCTCACCTTAATAAATAAATGCCAAGGATCTGGGTGCCTCGTGGTCTTTTGTATCCATGAACAATTGGCCATCCTAGATCCCTGCTGCGCCCATACTTTGTCTCTTGCTCTTTCTTCCTACCGTGTGCTGTAATATTTGACAGATTAAAATCCACTGCAGTGGTCTCCAATTTTCCAGTGAGTACTGGGATTACAGGTGTGCACCACCATGCCTGGCTAATATAGTCTATATGGTCATTGACAAAGGGTGAAATTATCAAAACAAGTTTTAATGTTTACAATTGATGTATGTTGGTCATCATCTCCTTACAACATAGTGACAGGGCCCATCCCAATTAAATTGAATAGCTTGAAGGGCTAAATAGTCTTTCTGGACAAATAACGCCCTTAATTGTTGTCCCAGCATTCTGGGCAGCGTTGCTGCGTGGTCGTGGGTGGGGCAGGCGCTGCTGGTAACAACTCTTACGCAGGGGCCCCGCTCCAGGCAGCCTGGAGCCGCCAGGGCCATCCCCGGACTCTCGGAGCGACCTCGCTCTCCCCGCCCATTTACCCCTACCCTCGCTGGGAGACACCCCGGTGACTTTTTCAGTCCGGGCTGAAGAGTCTTTCTCTGCCCAAGCGTGCGGCCCTGCTGTCCGCATCTTCCTGAACTGCTCCTCGACAGGCCCGTGTCACCCGGCTGTAATTTCTGTGTCCCTGTGGCTGGCCTGTGGGGCCTCCAGTCACCCGTGTCCTGTGCCCACCAGTTCCCCAGGCCCAGTGACTCTTGGCAGAGCTGAGCGCCTCTGGACGGGAGGCGGGCGGAGGGCCAAGGCAGAAACCTGGATTGTCGAGTGCTGCGGAGACCTCTGGGAGGGTTGGGGAGGAGCAAAACGGCCAGACTGGAGGAAGACTCCAAGAAACAATGGCCCAGGCAGCGGCAGGTGGGGAAGAAACTTTTGCGGAGAGTGCAGTAGCAGAAGGGCCACCGAGAGGCCGCTGCACAGAGGGAGCGGGTAGCCTTTCAGAGGTGCTCAGTACTGCTCGGGGTCCTCCTTTGGCTGTGAACCCGGATCGCTGCCCAGTGACAACACTTTGCGGAGGCCTCTCCTAAATTACCCAGAGAAGTGCTGGACTGCCGGGCGGTGGTCTCCAGCCCAACGTGCCACCCCTCCTTCTTCACTCTCCAACTCCGCTTGCTTCTTCATGACCTCTTTCCAGGCCCAGTGCCTGCCCAGCGCCCAACCTCACCCTCTTGTGCCTGGGCAGATGATGGAAAAGGCCTGGGTGGGGAAAGGCGCTGGGCTGGGCATCGGACTTGGAGCAAAACTGTTGCATGGAGACTACTTTGGAGTCCAAAAGGCTGAGTTAGGCCACCCTAGGGTTAGAAGGAACTGAAGAGAATTAGTTCTCTGCCAAGCAGAAATCCCTAGAGCTGAGCAATCGCCAGAACACAAAGGCTTATTGAGCATTACCACATTCATTGGGGGTTAGCAGGCATCTCATCCACAGTATAAATTGGAAACTGGGGGTAGCGCTCATACTGCAGGGTCTTTCTTCCACCTGGCCAACATGTTGTAAGAACACAGGAGACCCAATGGGCAGCCCTGGAGCTCAGTGATCTGGAGACTGAGTGCTGGGGTAATCACGAGACTGGGGAGCCAAGTGGGACATTCCAGACCAGCAGAGTGATGGTCACAGTTGCAGAGCTCTGCTGGCAGAGTCCACAAGCCTGAGGCAAAGAACAGTGGAAGTCTTCATCTTTTATGCTCTGGGAGTTTGATACAAACACTATGTGCTAATCACACATGGTGTTCAAATAATGTGTGCTAATCTCATGATAGTAAAAATACTTTTTTTTTTTTTTTTTAGAAAACAAGTTTCTTGAAAGGGTTCATAAAATGTTAATTGGCTTGCCTGGCAAGCACAAGGTCCTGAGTTCAATATCCAGTACCACAAAAAAAAAAAAAAAAAAAAAAAAAAGTTTATTGGCTTGTAGGCTATATAGTTCTCACACTGTATGGTCACTGCATAAGTTGTCATGCAGGTGAACTAGCTGCATGGTTACCCCAGCTAGTTTAGAACCAGACAGAAATGTAAGAAGGTTTCTGTCCTGCTCACATCACTGGAAGTAAGTTGAAAACCAGACAGAAACAAGATGGTTTCTGTCTTGCTCACAAAATCCACATGTCTGGCACAGCCCTGCCTCTTCTCTGAACCTTGTCTTCTTCATGGGAAAGGACCCAGGGACATGGGGTGAACAGGTAGGCCTTGAGGACCCTGCCGTTGTACCCCACAATGGCTCAGAATCACTTCTCAAGGGCCACATCTTGCAAAAAGAATGACCTGGTTGCAGGGGAAGAAAGGGAGGGGATGTTCCTGAGAAGCCACATGATGTGGTTGACACATTTAGCCAGGCAACTCCAGGTCTGAGGCCTGAGACCAGTTAGTGACTTCCTCTTCTATGCTCTTATGAGGAGCCTCCACAGTATGTTGTCATTGGAAAGTGCTCTAGCTTTAATATTGTGTGGAGGTTGCTTTTGTCTTTATTTTCCCCTCTTACAAGTAAGAGGGGAAATGCCAAGTCTGCATTTAGCATAGATTTTCATGACCAGGTATTTCTCAAGATGGTGAGGTCTGGGGAAGTGGGGATGGAGGGATAGATTTTAGCAGAAAAGAAAATTCAACCTGAGAAAGTTTAGATGAAAAGGAGTTAAGATGATGGGATTAGGAATAGTGGAGTTGGGCTGGGGATACAGTTCAGCAGCCAAAGTGCAGCCTGGCAAGTGCAGGTCATGAGTTTGATCCCTGGTACCAAAAAATAAAAGGAATGGTGAGGTCAATGGAGATGAAGAGTTGGGAGCTGGGAGTGTATTGGGGAACAGAAAGGGGGCTTTGGGAGGGAATCAGGTGATACAGTCCAAGAACTCAGCAGGGGCCAGAAGAGGCCTGGGAAGCTCTCGAGGGCCAGGCTCTGGTGCACCGTTCTCCATCTCCAGCCCGTGCCTGGGCTTCTGGAGCCAATGTATTGGATATCATACGTCAGGGGGTCCAACAGTGGGTGGGAGGAAGGGCAGAGAGACATACGATGGGGTTGCCATATGCAGTCAGCTTCGCACTAAACTGGAGGCGCATCCCTACCCAGTGTGGTGGCTCTGGATGGTGCTGAAGTGCAAGACCAGCTTTCAGGTTGACAAGGATGGCCTGGTTCTTAACTGGGTGGCTTAGGGTTCCTGAGACTGTACAGCCCATAGCTGTGGTGAATAAAGGCCTGTAACTTCTACTGAGGCACAGGAAACCTCCACTAGGCCTTTAAATATGCTGCCCCCTCAACCATGGTCTCTATGGCTGTCCTGCATGGTAGCCTGTGGGACCCATGAACTGGCACCTGGAGTTGGGCTGGAACATGAAGGAAGCAGAGGTGCCTAGCCCAGTTGATGGCTTTGAATTCCATCTCATTCAACATTTATTGAGGGCTATTATGTCTTGGCTGTGGTAGGAATCCCTGCTCCAGTGGAGTAACAGGCATAAAATAACTGTATGAAGAGATGTAGGACAGAGACCAACACCAGACTGGGTCTGGGGGAAGGCGAGGGAGGCTGTATGGGGAGGGTGCATATGATTTGTCACCATTTTTTGTCTGGTGTCATTGGGAGATTGCCCAGTCTCAAGCCCTAGTTTCCTTACCTGGAAAATAGAGGTGGACCCTGCTCCCACTGCCAGCTCTGCTGTAGAGGCCACCCTACTTCAGCTTCCTTCTCCTCTTCTCTATATAGCTTGCAGCTGCAGCAGGCTGCTTCCTGCAGCCAGGCCCAGGTGGACATATGATGATGTCTCTACTGTCCAGTGTGTCTGGTGCCTGTATCCCCTTCAATTGTGGCTAGCACCCCAGGCCCTGGAATAGAGACATCTGATTCTCCCAGTGGTCAGCAGCTGGAAAGAAATGAAGCTCAGCCCCCAGGGCATGCAGACCCTTTCCTGTGGGCAGAGGCAAGGCTAGGGGGCAAGCAGAGTAGTCCTCAAGGGGGCCAGAAGGGCATTATGAGGGTGGGGGGAGCTGTGAGGGGTATAGGAGATCCTGGGCCCCAAAGTAAGGAGATGCCAAGCAGGCTGTGGTCCAGAGGCAGCCAGGCCAGGTTCCTCTCCACAGGGACAGCCCCTGTAATGATGGCTTTCTTGGCATTGTAGTTCCTAGGGAGAAGCCCCCACCCCTCATGCCTGAGCAAA